TCTAGAAAACATATTTACGTTTTGTGAATTTCAAAATGCAGTAATTTTGTAATTTATGGTGCTGTGATAAGTTATGGAATTATTAATGTTTGAAAATTTACAAAAATATATGTGTGTTTTTACAAGAGAAAATGTTTTTTGGAATATGTTGCTTTTTTATTTTAGTGAATTGCTCAAACATTTGCAATCACAGAAAAATACCTTAGATAAAATCCTTAAAAATCACAATGGAAAATAACAATGAGTGATACAAATTAAAACAGCAATAAATGTTGATAGCAAACCATTACAAGAAAACTTTAAACTGAACCTTTAATTTAGCAAGGAGAATAAATACGCAAGGGTACAGTTCATTCAGACCCTATCACACTAACCCCTTTTTCTATTAATTTCTGCATAACTGCATGAATTTTTTGTATAGTCAGAATGAATTGCAAGAGTGCCACTGCTTCTTTGTAAACAAACAAATAAGCATCCTCTTACATTGTTTTCAGTAAATATTGTTCTGTTAAGGCAATTACCATATTGTAAATGGATACATTCTTTGATAATAGTTAAGTTTTGCACAAACTACTTTTATTTTGTTTTTAAGTAAATTCTTTTAGTAGTTTCAATCCTCTGTAAGACAAGATCAATATGGAAATTAGTTAAACAAAAATGGTCTCTGCCCTCTTCATCTGAGAGATGTTCTGCTTGCCTGTGATACATTTGGAAAACCTCAAATTCATGCAGGACTACAAAAGTTTATGGAAAAAGTGCTTGTGTGTTAGGACCATTACAAATGAAAGGTCAGCAACATCAAATAGTCCCTTATAGGTGCCACATGCAGTGTTTTATGTGAGGCCAACAAAAAAAAATCTTTTATGGTACAGAACCAACATTTTAAAGGTCAGCACAAGAATCTGGACCAGTACAACTTAGTACAACCATAGTAACTGTGTCAAAAAGGAAAATGTAGTGCTTATGGAATAATTGTCTGGTCTTTTGACCTCTAAGATATGTTCAAGGTATCCATAGTGTAAGATGGATGGTGCATAGGATAACTCAAAAAATTATGAACAGATTTTTATGATATTTTTACCAGAGGTGTGTCTGCCATTAAGTTTTGGTGGTGATCTGGATCATGACCCGGATCCAGAAATTTAAAAAAATATTCAATAGCTTTGCAAGATGGGGAAACACATATGTCACCTGTATACTTGAGAAAGAGGTCATCATCATCATCATCACTCTTGTTATTACTATTGTTGTTAATATTATTATTGTTATTATTGTTATTACTATTGTTGTTAATATTAGTTTTAATGTTATTGTTATTACTTTTTAAATTAGGAGTTATTATTACTATTTTTATTTTGTTATTACTGTTGTTATTATCATCATCATTGTAATCATTATTATTATTATTATTATTATTATTATTATTATTATTATTATTATTATTATTATTATTATTATTTGTTGTTGTTGTTGTTGTTGTTGTTGTTTGTTGTTGCTGTTATTGTTATTATTATTGTATTGTTATTGTTATTTATTGTTATTATTATTATTATTTATTTTTTATTATTATTATTATTATTTTATTATTATTATTATTATTATTATTATTATTATTATTATTATTATTATTATTATTATTATTATTATTATTATTATTATTATTATTATGGTTATTATGGTTATTATGGTTATTATATATTTATAATCTATTATTATTATTTTATATTATTATTATTATTATCATTATTTATTATTTTATTATTGTTATTATTATTATTTTTGTGTTATTGTTGTTTGTTGTTGTTGTTGTTGTTGTTGTTGTTGTTGTTTGTAGTAGTTGTTATTTATTATTATTATTATTATTATTATTATTATTTATTATTATTATTATTATTATATTATTGCTATTGCTATTGCTATTGCTATTGCTATTGCTATTGCTATTGCTATTACTATATCTATTACTATTACTATTACCATTACCACTACCATTTCTATTGCTATTATTATTATTGGTAGTATTTTTATTATTGTTATTTATTTTACTATTTTTATTTCTATTTTTATTTCATTTTCATTTTTTTTTCAAATTATTTATCTTTTCCTTTCTTCCATTTTTTATTTTTTTCATTATTGTTGTTTAGATAGCTAGATAGATTATAGCTATATCTGTCTATCTTATATATCTTATATATTCTATAATACATTTATTATATAGATATATATGATATAAAGTGTCTATATATATAACTATTACCTTATAATATATATATTATATAAATATTATATTATATATATATAGTTATATATATATATATATATATATATTACTTTATATATATATTGTATATATTATGAATGGGAAACACTCTAGCCCGGTGTTGATATATGGTAGAAAACCGCAAATGCACCAAATTGATTTAATTGAAGAAAGTGTTATGGAATCGTCCTGAAGGATCTCTCTTCTTGACTCTTCTCGTCTCTCTTCTCTCTCTCTCTG